TTCATGTAGTAAGATGATAATATTAAATAAGTTAAAATTAAYTTGCAATAAATGTTGACATTTATGGCCCAACTGGATCCGGTTTTAAGAAAATATTAACAAATACACGGTAACGTCAAAAAAGCACCTATCATAACCGTTTTTTTTTTTTAATTTTAGCTGCAATAATTTAGCAACCTTGCTACCTTACACTTCAAATATTACAACTTTTTATGGTAAAAAAAAATTAATAACGCGGGTTGTTTTAAAATAATATTTAAGTATAATACATTCCATATAATTATATATTATGTACATATAAAGTGAAAACACTTTTATGGTGATTTTGCATTTTTTTTTTTTTGTATAATTTGTTGTATGTAAGTATACCAACTATATTAAAAAATATTTAACTCAAAATTTTTTTATTTTTATATTGTTGGTATGTCTTAATTATTACGTTATATTCATAATCCATAGTCTAATTATTAGGAATAAACTATATAATAATAATATAAGTTATATTGTAATGTAGGTAGGTAGGTACCTAAATTTAAATAAAACACACATATTATTRAAAGTAAACTGCGATCTATTTCATTCATAAGTGTAAATGTGTTATTTAATCATATACCAATTATAGTAAATATATATATATATTGTTATTTATCTTATTTTCGTAGTGTAAATATTTTGTTTATAAGGTTACACTTGTTTATATCAAGGGAAAGTCATAATATTAGGTGCCGAAAACATCAAATCATTAGGTACAAATGGAAAGTAAAATTRATAGAGATTGGTGCATATACGTACATCGAATAATTTATTATCATTGTTCATTTTATGAACTTTAACGATACCTCATAACTATTAAGGTTTATAAGATTAGTTTTGTACCTACCTACTCGCCTATGCCTTTAATATTGTCGAGTGTATAGACCACCCAATAATTCCTATCCTATAATGGTTGTATTAAGTTTATAATTTAATTGATTGTTGTTAAATTATTTATAATGATATAAATATTATGTTTATCATTATGTGTACTTAAAATTAAATGTATACGAATACTTTAGTAGGTACCTATCTATCTGTTCCGTTGAACTCGATTCGTCTGTGAATATCTCGTGATAATCAGACAATCAGTAAAAACGACTGTGGATGGCCAATGGAAGTTAATTTTTGCTAAAGAACGGTCATTGTCTTTAATGTGATCACGTCGGCTAAGTTCTAAGAAACGTATAAAGATACTTTTAATATATATATATACACATTTATGATAAAAAAAAGGCTTTGAAACAAAATATGGAAGAGAATGAAGGGGAAAAACAAACTATTAAAAGAGTGAAAACTAACAGGGCAAATAAACGTGGTGTGAGCTAAGAGATGTTTGTAAGAAGTGCCGCACGGATAGAACGTCTGCGAGAAGGTGAATATACGTGTATATATTATAGACGTATTATATTATATATTTATATATATATATTGTCTGGTTAAGACATTCCTCTTATGTATTATATAGTGGGCAACCGTATGCAGTTTACACTTGCGGTAACATTGTCTAATGGATGCGGAAAATTTCAAGTTCACTCCGCAGTATATTATACAACGATCCGTGTGAAGCAAATCGAAGATCAAAATATCGAATGCTTCAGTTTAAAAATAAATTGTTTGATTTAAAATAAATGAACGAGTTATAAGATATATTTGGGAATATCACATACCTAACCTAGTTGAGTTCAACGTGAATATGTTTTGTTYATAAGTTTATAGGCATAATTTACTCAATATTATAAAAAATAAGCATTTCATAATGTAAAATGATATTGTTTTTTAAATTCCAATAATACTCATTTATATGTATATATACGTATATATGTATAATATATTTGTATAATTGACTTTAGTGCATATCTGATTTGTCATTTGTGTGAGTTTTTGAAACATAGAATTCACATTTTGAGACTGAATAGTCGTTTATAATATAATGTACAATATTGTGCGATTAAAATTGTTAAAAACATATAAGTGATTCATAATTTCAACTAAAAATGGTCCCGCAGGCGAGGGAAACACATCCTACATTAATTTCTTTGAATATTTTAGATAAACCTACACTCAATTTTTTTACCTGTTTAAAGAAAAATTAAATTTTAATTTAAACACATATGAAAAATACGCACCAAATGTAAAAAAGTGTAAAATATGTATGCAATTATGCGAAATAAAAAAAATTCTATTGACTCCTGTTATTATGAAACAGAATTATATATTTCTATATCACTAATTATTTATGTTTTGAATCAACATTAGAAAACATGCAAACTTCTATAAGTCCCTAACCCTAATTATTATTAATATAAAGATTATACATTTATATTTTTAGAKACAAACTTAAAACTTATAAATATTGTGTGATTAAAAATTTAGATAAATATATTTTACCTATTGGATAGGCTTCCCCAAATACTGGTGGATTATTAATATTTGCTTGATAAAATAAACACTCAGAAAGCATATGCCAGAAGGCCCATATGATTTTTATTATTTACAATGCCTACTGTATTGTTATTCAAAGTTACAAAGTTGAACCAATAAATATATGATATATACAATAATATTGGGTTTTACATATATATACGAATCAATTGAAATAAATGGACTCAGAAATAAACTAGGTGTTTTGTACGAGGTCAGTAATAGCTAGAAGATCAATGACGAATTGTTCAAAAAGGAAAGTTGACCTGAGGTTATGGGAAATCACAGTTTAGGTGGATATAAGAGAAGAGGTAAATGTATTTAATTTTATAGATTAATATAGTCTACGATAACATTTCATAGTGACATACAATTGATTTACTAGGTGTTATGGTTTTAAAATAATAACAAACACATTTATCGTAGTAAAATAATTGTAATCAGGAAATGTTATGTTTAATTTTCGTATACATGTTTTATTATAGTACCGAAATTAGATGATTAAGAATAATTATCAATATAAATATAAAACATAATTTGAGAATTTATCTAGATAGCGCGCATCATCTGCGAGCAAACTTCCGACGATAGGTCCACATAATATACTGATATAAGTACGATTACCATTTAGGTAATCATAATATTTTTAGTTCTTCAGTCATTAAAAATTAGTCTCAACCAACCATCTAATCACTCGTTTATGTCTATAAATGGTCGTGTATTAATGTTATGCAAGTGAGACAAAAGTCCGRCTAACTAGTATTGATAGTGTATTTGATTTTCACCCATTTTCCAAACATCTAGAATATTGTGTACCCATCTCCCACCAGCAACAAACAATCAAAGTCCAAAAATCAATTTTTGGGATTGATTTAAAATAATAGACATATTTATTATTAYAGTTATTAGAAATGTCTACCAATTAAACCATATTTTGTTAAGTAATCTTCTTGTAGTTCAAATATATACCTATWTACCTTATATATATATATAAACAGTTACATAATATGTTAAAGTTTGTCTGTTTTTAGAAAGCTAACATTCTTAGACAAATATATTTTTTGACCAGTACCTTATTGCATGGATTGGATGATGTTATAACTTATAAAATATTATTATATTAGTAAATTTATTTGCATAAATGTTTCCATATGACACTACGAGTTACAACCGTCAATTATAGAATTCTTAGTGTTTAGATAGTGAATACCTACATGATATACRTAATACAATATTATATGTTTAGACCTATTATATTATAGGTTTGTAACACTTTATTGAAATGATCATGATAGGTCTCTTATGCTCTATCATTATGTCTCTGTGCTCAGTGTTTGCGTATGTATACAGCGATATTATATTGGTATAATACAGATATCTAACAATATAATCTGAGTATGACGCGAGTTCAGCAGATAAAACAATGAAGGATTAAAGTACTTGATTGTTGACAGATGTGGTTGTTAAAACTGAAGTCTACATGTGAAATATAACCACCTATAATATCTACCTCAAGACCCAAAGACGAAAGATATTGACAACTGACTTTTCGTAAATGCTCCATCATTTGTAATCATCATAATTTACTTTTTATTAAGAACTATAACTATGGATATTAATCATATAAAMAATTTATTTTTACTATAATATGTTATCAATCATAACATCAAAACATAAAATATCAACTTATCAGCTATTTTGGTGCGTTTTTATGTACAACTTTATTTGATGTATTTCCTAAATAATACTGAAATTTTTTTCAGATGTTAGCTTTAGTTGTCGATTATTATTAGCTATTTAAAAATTGCAGTATAATCTATATTGTCTATAATAAAGACTCAATATGAACGATAATAACAATTTCGATTAGAATTATGAAAGGTAAATAAACCTAAAACGCGTGTGTTGAATTAAAATCAAAAATACATTAAAGTATTATAATTTTAGTTTTTTTTTTGTTTCGAATGGATATTATTATATTATGTCACATTGCTGATACAAAACCTGTACGGCTATTACACCTATTGTTGATATTATTATTATTATTATTTATTGCGATCATATTATTATCTATACATGCGTCCATCAATAAGTGATCTCATCATTCATCGTGTGGCACGTATTATTTTACAACGTCCGCAAAAATATGACAATAAGACAGTGAACACTTGTAGGAATACAAAACGAAAAGGGGAAAAAACCAGGACGCGCGCCCGTTCCGTACGGCTTCGAAAAGCCCATCTGTTCGGTTACAGTGGTTGCGTCCGGCGGACACGTGACGTCACCACACCGGCAACAGGCGGAGGGCATCAACACGCGAAGGTGGTATAGGTACGTTATAATAGCGGCCACCTCTTGTCTGTCCGTCTACCGGCGGGTTCTTTTCAGTCTTGCACGACAACCCGCGAGTTCCACATTACCGGCGGTAGTGGACATCGGGTTTTATTCTCCCGATATTTAACACGCTCTGCGTGTTTTTTCGTTAGTTCGTTTGTTTTTTTCTAATAATTTTTTTAAATAATACACTAACAAAACTTAAAAGAAAAAAATATTTAATCAATAATCATAGTTTTTAAGTTACTTAAAAATTTTTACTAATTTTTTTTTTCTAAAACCGTATTGTGTAGTGCATCGAGTATATAAGTGATACGTTATATTAATAATACTATAATCGTTAATTTATATTTGTGTTCGCGTTTATTCGCACTGYGTGATACACTAACATGTACATCGAACACACGTGACAGAAAATGCCAAAATACGGTAAGTACTTCCTCTTYGTAAAGTGAATTTAAAAATAAATCAGTAATAATTAACTTTTTCTGTCATACATTAGTAATCTTTTTTTTCAGATGGTTAATTTTTATAAAAAATTAAAATACGTCTCAT